CCCGCAGCCGCAAGCTCACCTGCCACGGCCACTCCCCGCGGCCCGCCGCGCTGCCGCCCACAATCCGGGTCAGTGCCGCAGCCGGCGCCAGGCCACAGTCTGTGGGAGCAGGCAGGGTGGTTGAGGGCGGGCGCCCGGCTATCCTCGGGTACCCAGGATGCAGCTAAGTTCCCCATAACATCGCGTGTGCCGCTGCCTCCTCCTGGCGGCCCTGCTGGGTCCTCCAGGGGCGGGGCCCAGACTCGGGCCTTTGCCGCCAGGATGACCCTCCGCCCTCTGCCAGGCCTGGGTGCCCATGTCCTTCCCTGCTGTTCCCTCGGGGCAAGGGCCCTTACTGTATATGGTACCAATCTCAGAGGGTCCCGGGAACGCCACGGTGGGGGACAAGCAGGTGGCTTCAAGGGGTCCCAGGGTGCCATTGCCGCCCATGGTTCACTGCTGACTCTCCAGGCCTGGGGAGCGTGTCCCCTCCTGGCCTCAGTGAACCTGGCCAGGGAAGGGGCTGCGGGGCTGCTGGGGCGGACAGGGCCAAGGTCCAGCCCCGGGCACTGAGCACCGGGCCCAGGACACGCCACGGTGGGGGACAAGCAGGTGGCTTCAAGGGGTCCCAGGGTGCCATTGCCGCCCATGGTTCACTGCTGACTCTCCAGGCCTGGGGAGCGTGTCCCCTCCTGGCCTCAGTGAACCTGGCCAGGGAAGGGGCTGCGGGGCTGCTGGGGCGGACAGGGCCAAGGTCCAGCCCCGGGCACTGAGCACCGGGCCCAGGACACAGCTTTCCCTGCCCTGGGCCCGAGGACTCCCAGGCCGCCGCCGATGGAGTGAAGCCCCGCAGGCTGGGGTCGGGCGCCCACCCAGAAGGCCGCCAGATCCCTCCCTGGAGCCGCCCCTGGGCAGCCAGTGGGGTGGCCAGTGGACGTCCTGCAGCGTGAAGTGCCCCCCTTCACCTGGAGGCTCGCGGTGCCCGCCTGCACCCACCCTGGTCAACGGTGACTGTACGGCCAGCTGCAGCGTCCCCCACCCCCCAGCCC